ACTTTATTGAAATATTTTTAGACAGACGGTTTCACTTAACAAGAAGATTAGCAAGTATCAGAAAAAATCGATATTCGTCGCACAATAAACGATGCAAAGTTAATGAACGGACAGGACAGAAAATATCTGAATGACATCGGGTTTCCGGTTTCACATTTTTCGGGAAGACGCGAATTCATGTTGACGCGAAATAATTATTTTGGACATTTTGCCTCAAATTCGCGAAATAAGGTTCTCGCGAAAAATAAGTGTTTTACAGTATATGCTTCAAACAATATCAGAAACTTATTTAATTAAAATAAAATTATGTCTGGTCGGATAACCATTCTAATATCAGCATCCTAGAACATAAAATTTGGATAGAAAGTATGATCACTTAAATATATAATAATTCTTGCAACAAATGACAGATTTCTGTTTTTACCACTCTAACAGACTTTACCCGATTTCCAGGAAAATTCCAGCACAGGGGCCAGCACATGCTCGGATGGAAATTTTTTTTTACTAACTAAAAATCACCCTAAAAAATCAGCCTAAAAATCATTTTAAATGTAAATATATATACATGTATGTATTATTTTTTAATATGTATTTAAATAATTTTATTTTTTGGGGGGGAGAGGGGGGATTTTTCTAATACATATGAGCCATGACATAACATTTCCAACATAGTGGTCAAATGACATAATTGTAGAAACATTATGTCAAAGTTGACTCATTTATCAATTAAAGGATGCACGCATCAGTTGTATGTAGGCAAAAAAGAATTCATTACTGCACATATATAATAAAATTGCTCACCACAATGATGACGGTTTTCCGCAGTTTACAGATATAGGTAGAAATGACTCATTTTTTAAAGCATAAAGATTAAGTACAAACTGCGCTGGTAACCTTGAACCCCTGACAAAACACTTGCTGAATCATGATCTTTAGTACCAAGGAAGAAAATTTCAAGGAAAATACGACTTAACAAATCTTATTTCATCTATTCAAATGACACTTGACATACAGAAAACACTTTCAGGGCTTACATACTTAAAACAATTAAACAATAATTACATTGTATTCTTTTGATTATTTTATTTCCAGTGTCAAGATGTTTTCCAAGTATTTCTCTTTATTGCAACACGTGGCTGATGCGTGAATAAATTGGAATAAACACTTGAATGTAAATAGAACAAGGAAGATATCACATCACATGGATATCATTGTTTTATATAATGGACACTCAAAACAAGAGTATATAATTGAGAGACAATTGTTAACAGTTAAGTGTAGTGGATGGATGCGTAAGACATTGAAGTTGTTGAAATCCTGTCCTGGTTTATATAACAAGAGGGCCATGATGGCCCTGAGGTCGCTCACCTGTATATAGGCCCCCCACCCCCGGGCCAATTTTTACCCAAGGGCTTTTATTTGTTTATTTGAACAGACTTGGTAGACACCCATAAGAAGATGTTTCTCATGCTAAACATCTAAGTTCTAGCTCATTGGCATTTTTAAAAGAAGATTGTACACATATACACATATAGTTAAAAACAATGTCACCCCTGGGGCAGGGCCAGTTTTGACCCCCGGCGTTTATTTTTAACAAACTTTGTAGATATTTACTTAAAGATGTTTCATGCTTAATATCTAAACTCTAGCTATTTGGGTTTTTTCCAAAGAAGATTTTTAAGTTTTGCTATACACATATAAGGAAAATCAATGACCCCCCACCCCCCGGGCGGGGCCAGTTTTGACCCCAGGGCTTTTATTTGAACATACTTGGTAGACACTCATTAGAAGATGTTTCATGCTAAATATCTTAGCTCTAGCTCTTTGGGTTCTTTAAAAGAAGATTTTTTAAGTTTTTACTATATGCATATAGGGAAAATCTATGACCCCCTGGGGCAGGGTCAATTATGACCCCAGGGCTTTTATTTAAACAAACTTGGTAGACATTCACTAGAAGATGTTTCATGCCAAATATCTAAGCTCTAGCTCTTATGGTTCTTTAAAAGAAGATTTTTTAAGTTTTTACCATATGCATATAGGGAAAATCAATGACCCCCGGGGCGGGGCCAATTTTGACCCCAGGGCTTTAATTTGAACAAAACTTGGTAGACACTCACTAGAAGATGTTTCATGCTTAATATCTTAGCTCTAGCTCTTTTGGGTTCTTTAAAAGAAAATTTTTTTTAAGTTTTTACTATATGCATATAGGGAAAATCTATGACCCCCTGGGGGAGGAGTCAATTTTGACCCCAGGGCTTTTATTTGAACAAACTTGGTAGACATTCACTAGAAGATGTTTCATGCCAAATATCTAAGCTCTAGCTCTTATGGTTCTTTAAAAGAAGATTTTTTAAGTTTTTACTATATGCATATAGGGAAAATCAATGACCCCCTGGGTCGGGGCCAATTTTGACCCCAGGGCTTTTATTTGAACAAACTTGGGTAGACATTCACTAGAAGATGTTTCATGCCAAATATCTAAGCTCTAAGCTCTTACGGTTCTTTAAAAGAAGATATTTTAAGTTTTTACTATATGCATATATAGGGAAAATCAATGACCCCCAGGGGCGGGGCCAATTTTGACCCCAGGGCTTTTATTTGAACAAACTTGGTAGACACTCACTAGAAGATGTTTCATGCCAAATATCTAAGCTCTAGCTCTTATGGTTTTTTAAAAGAAGATATTTTAAGTTTTTTCTTTTGGTTGCCATGGCAACCAGAGTTCTGCATGGAATTAAATTCTTTTAACAATTTTTAAAGGTGACCACCAAAGGAACATTCCTGTGAAGTTTGGATGAAATTGGCTCAGTGGTTTATGAGGAGATGTCATTTAAAGCAAAAGTTTACGGACGGACGGAGGAACCGACGGTCAGATGCGCATCTCCTCTTGATATTGATGATTCCCATAAAGTTTCGTTGAATTCCAGCCAGTAGTTGCAGAGAACTACTCCGGAAACGAAATTCGGATGGACGGACATACTTAGCAGACGTGTTTGTGGGGTTATTCCTTTGATCTCTTAACCCCACAAGAGCAAATTTTTTTAACCCCATAAGAGCATTTTTAACCACATAATACATGTCTCTACGGAATGAACCCCATACAGAGTGCCTGAACATAAACCTAAACCTCATAATGTAGCTCTCGTCTGCTCGGACGGACGGACGGACAACGCCAAAACTATATCCCCCTCCCGATTCCATCGGCGGGGGATAAAAAATTGAAGATGAACGATCATATTTTAATCTAGAACACTTTATAATCTGCTATATAAAATAAAGTTTCGATTCATGTATCTCACACTTGCCAACAATATACATATGTAAGTCTTTCGAGGTCTGCTGTGTTTCCGGACATTGCCCTTCTGACAGTTGCCCCCTCGGAAGTTTGCCCCCTTTTTGCAGTGGCGGTCATTTGTCCCCTCATATATTTTGAAGGGGCGGACATTTGCCCCTCCCTGTTTTAAAAATGTTAAAATATTTTATTGTTGAATTGTTTGCTACCAAAATTCATCGCATATTGTCGAAATTTCATTGTGCTTAAAAACACAAAAGAATTCTTGCGCAAATTTGTGAAATTCAAAAAAACATCCATAAATAAATGAACTATAATGTTTCCATTGGCATACAAAAAAATCTATACACAGGATGACAAGTGACAAGTCATAACAGCAAAAAAGGACAATCGTCCTGTAAGGGCAACTGTCCGGGGGCAAATGTCCTAGAATCTGCATTGTCTGATACGAAATACTATCAACATAACTATTCATCCTTTAACATATCTTTATTTACAGTTCACTTTATTACTGTCAAATTGCACATTTAGCTTTTTTTATTATTTTAAAGGGAAAGGCAAAGTTAAATGCAAAATATATGTGCCGTGTCATGACAAAACCTGCGACCAGCATGGATCCAGACCAGCCTGCGCATCCGCGCAGTCTGATCAGGATCCATGCTGTTCACTTACCAACTCTATTACAAGTAGAGAAACTGATAGCGAACAGCATGGATCCTGATCAGACTGCGCAGAGGCGCAGGCTGGTCTAGATCCATGCTGGTCGCAAACGCATTACGTTGGTTTTGTCGTGACATGGCTTATATATTGTACGTTGATAAAAGCTTACCTGTATATATGCGCTGTGTTAAAAATGATATTTGTGCATTACATCAAATGCTTCGGATCAGCCATTGCTCAATCCAATTTAGTTTTACGGTGTGTAAGTTGGATATCGGCCTCGTACATCGATCTTTCTGTTCAGGAAAGACCTGGTCACGAATTTCATGAAATACCTCAAGCACTACGCGCTCTCGGTGTCACATGAACTTCGGACTAGGTCTTTCCTAAACAGAAAAACCTCGTACTCGGTCGATATCCTATACGTATATCACCCATGGCATTGTGAACAAAGCTTTGTCAAATGTTTTTGGAGCCTATATTATTTTATGATTCCATAAATGTCCCAAAAATGTAAAGTGTGTCTTATTCTTTAAAGCATAGTTCTTGATTCAATGACAATAAATACGCTAAAATAATAAAAAATTTCACCCCAATGATAACTCTAAGCTATAATTTCTTATGTTTAGCGCAGTGTATGTCCAGCCGTTGAACGTCTGACGTCACTTTCTTTATGTGGGTCTGTTTCCCAAACCATTCATGAAATATATATTTTCATACCATTTGAAGAAAATAATCCTGTAAGAAACTTGAATTCAAGTTTTCATTGACCAAAATAAAATTTGTATTCAATGATTTAGAAAAGAATGTAGTTTGAGAATCTTTGAAAAAAGTAAAAGGGCAAATTTGACCACTATGTTGGAAATGTCATGTCACGGCTATTAATATTATATTTTAACACTTAAAAAAGGTTTTTAAGGGTAAAATAATTTAAGCTAGTAAACAAGAAAAATTCTTCATCAGAGCATGTATCAACTCCCTGTGAATCCCATATGGTATCTATGAATAAACTGAATCAAACATCTTTTGTGTAAGTAAGAAAGAAAACCTGTTTGTCCCATGTGATAGTTGTGGAATGCATCTGTGAGTCCATCTGAGAGCATGGTATCAACAAATGTCATATCTCCAAACTTTTTTCCTGTTCTTAAATGTGCACAATGACGTGCCTGTAAATGAAGATATGAGCCGCGTCATGACAAAACCAACATAATAGGTTTGCGATCAGCATGGATCCAGACCAGCCTGCGCATCCGCGCAGTCTGATCAGGATCCATGCTGTTCGCTATCAGTTTCTCTACTTGTTATAGTGTTTGTAAGCGAACAGCATGGATCCTGATCAGACTGTGCGGATGCGCAGGCTGGTCTGGATCCATGCTGGTCGCAAACCCATTATGTTGGTTTTGACGTGCCTGTTAATGAAGATATGTTATACATGCTATTAAAATTCTAACACTCCTTGTGATTTCGTCACATACACTATGGCCTTCTTGGTCAATTCCTACGCATCAAAACTCCAAACCAGAGTTAAATAGCCGATAAACACCGCTAAGACTGATATTATTTCTTAAATATACATCATGCTGAAGAAAAATTTAAAATGTAACTTTAAAATATCATATGTACAAAAGAGAAGTGAGTTAAAAGCCACACTAATACTTTTACTAGTCTTATTATGATTTCAAGAAGGAAAACAAATTGCTTATGGAACAATCAGGACTTTGACGAAATCATAAAACTTCAATGACATAGCTAGATTGCTTATTTAAGGTATTTTTACATAAAACAGTCAAATTTCCCTTAAATTATCGTATAGAGAAATGTTTATACATGTATTTCTACTAGAAAAGGTCAAGGAAATCAAATCAGCAAATTCATATTCATACTGACATTTATACTGATTTTATTCTGCCATACAAAAATGCCTGTATACTTCATTTAATGTTACAATTTACTTTAGTAGACTGAAAAAAAAGCTGTTAGAATTAACATTTTTACATTTCAATAAAACCATAATCATTTTGTTCTGCGGAATCAAATATATTTTGGAATCACCTTTCTAAAGATGCAGCCAATTGATATCATTTTTATTTTCAAAATGTATCATTTCTTATCTAAATTAAAAATATCAAGAGTTACTTACCCTGCTCATACTTTCTTGACCTCCAGCCACAACTACTGAAGAGTCACCTGCTTTAATCGCTTGGTATCCCATGGCAACTGCTTTAAGTCCTGACCCACATAACATGTTAACGCTTGTAGATGGAATGTTGTACGATACACCTGCCTTGACACTGGCTTGTCGAGCTGGATTCTGACCTTCACCTTGAACGCAAATTATCAAATTTTGTACTTTTTAATATTTTGCTAGATCTTTACCGATCTAACTTTGAATAATAGGGGGTTTCTGCTTTAAATTTTGGAACAGTCCAATGATTGTTAAGGGAGGGCAGTATCAAAATGCTAAATATGAAAAACCAGCAGTACAGTTTTAGTATAGTTTTATGGTTGGTTTTTACATCACATCAATACAGTAGAGGTCATATGTCCACTTTTCAGCTTTACTGGTGGAGGAATACCTCTGGTGCCCTAAATGCATTATTTCAGGCACAAACAAGCACCAGAGTAGTGCCTCCAATGTTCTGTAAGCTAGGCCAACAGTATAAAGAGCCTGGTCACATTAGATGGGTGGATTACAGACTGGAATGGTTCTATACTGCTTGATTTTGTCTTGCACTCAATGTGTTAAGCAACTACAAGCCTAAACTTACTTTTTATTCTCAGTCTTACTCAAACTGAGCATGTAGTTTAAAATCCCAAGAAATTGATTTTCTTTTTCAGATTCCAAAGTGCTCCTTGAACCTGCATAAGACTTTGGATTATTTTATGTGAGGAAGCCATCCAACTACATGTAGCTTACAGAATGGCAGTGGTTCTACTCAAGTGCCCTCTTAGTTGTGCCTGAAATAATGCACCCGAGATCTTCCTTCCCCAGTTTAACCGGAAAGTAGACATAATTATTACCTTTAAAAGTGTCAGTAAAAGTGTCAGTATGAACAAAAGTAGATGAACATAATGATGTATTATACTTTATATATTATAGAATAATTATGTACAATGTATTGTGTACACTAGTAATTAATTTATTTCTTACATAAGTAATGATAGTAGTAATACTATGTGTAACAATTAATTATGTAAAAATAATAAATCTGTTTTAATTAAGTAAGAGTAATAAAGAGACCTGCAGTAAGCACTTGACCCATGATAACCTCGGATACATTTTCAGGTGCCACTTTTGCTCTTTTCAGCACCTCTTGTATACACACAGCACCAAGATCATGGCCAGCCAAACTGGACAAACAGCCACTGAGATTACCTGAAATGTTCCAAAAACAACAGTAAGATCACTAGCAGTTATTGTATCTGTTTGACAAAACCAAGTCTTAGATAAGATAGAAATTCAGAGGGGAATTCATAAAAAAGCCACTTTTAAATATAAGACCAAACGCTATTGTTCAGATCAGGATGCATTTCATACTAAAGAAGTTTAGTACAGTACATAGTACTAAAAAGAGTCACCATTGTGTTATTGGTTAAAAAATCTATATCTAGATGACACTGTTGTTATTCAACCACAGAGCTATATTTATAATGTGAAGAAGCTAAGATGTCATACACTTAAGTTATGTATCAGGAATAGTTTACTATCTCCCAAGATATTCTGAGAACATGTTTGACACAAGAAAAATTTACAGATATGTATGCTGCCGTGTTATATAAGCTTTGTTATGGAAATCAAAAGAAGAAACATAAAACAAGTTGCAAAAATGTAAAACAACAGCTGTTGGTAGGACAGCACGCTAGACTAATCTAAGTGCTTGATAGTAAAAGAGCCTTGATAATGTAAAATTTTCTAAAGGGCTAAATTTTTTTTTTTTAAATCCATGTTATATAGGTTTTGGAGAGAGTCCTATTACGCTCACAAAGAAGTGAATAAAATTTCAACTTGTTTTAAAGCAAGATGTCAATGAAATATGAAAATATCTGAGGTCGAACGCAAACTTTACCATAAACTCTAAGTCGAAAGAGGGGCATAATTCTGTCAAAATGCATGATACAGTTACCTCCTCCTGTCTACAGGTTGAGGTCATAACGGTGAACAAGTGTGCAAAGTTTCAAAGCCATACGTCAATGGACTATGAAAATATTTGAGATATTACAAAAACTTTAACATAAGTGGTTACGCCCACGCCAATGCCAACGCTCGGGCTACTTATATAGCTCTTCTTATTCTTATCCAATAGTCAAGTTAAAAAGCAATAAATATTAAGATCCTAATAACCCATATGGTACCATTGTTATTATCATTTCCAGCAAATTCTACAAATAAAAAGAACTTGTATTTACTATTTTATTGAATACAAGGATTCACAGTTTCAGAACTAGCCGACGACAGGTTTTTCTTATCAGTAGAATTGCGAGTAAAGATAACCGATTGCGTACCTCACTGTATAAAACGTATGTAAAATGGTCTGACTTGTGGTAGGTTTAACCGTAAATAGTCAAACAATGCGTTGAAATATACATGTAAATTGAGACAAAGCTAAGATCATACCCTTTTTATTGATGTAATAAATTTTAAAATCGGAGATTAAATCGCCCCAAACTAGTGGTTTAAAAATAGCTAAATTTGCATTGTTTAAGCATTAGAGATATCGATTTTACTGGAAGATAAGGGAAACAACTCATGTTTTTTCACTCCATATACCTCGGTTATTTACGGAATTACGTAATTCATATAGAGACTGTCAATGGGTGTATTGTGTTTAACTGCCACATCTTGACTTTAAAATACACATGTCATTCAAAGAATAACTCAATGATTTAAATTAGAAATTAACATCTATGGTCAGTCAGCCATGTTTTGAATGGGAGCTTAAACGGAGAGCACTATGGTACCGTGGTATGTAACTTGATGGCCCTTTTTGGCCTTTTAATATCAACAATTTTGGCATAAACTACTTTGAAAAATATATTTCTTAGGTTTTGGCGATATCTTGAAAAGTTCGAAATAATTTGGGTCCGAGTGACACTTGTTTCGTTACCGCTTTCATTTATGCGCTGTGATAAATGACATTGCAAAAGAAAACAAGGAATATTACCGACAGCTGTTCTTGCTCCTGATACAATCACAACTTCTCTTTCTGCCATGTTTTATAATCTTTAAAATCTTATTTTTATTTATTTCTTTCGTTACTTCAGGTTGTTGTTGTAGTTTACGCATCGGGTACCAGATACAAAAATATCGGGAACCAACTCATTTTATCCGTCCTTTCCGTTTCCGTCAAAATGGTAAATACACGGTCTTGTATAGATATAACAAAAATCCATCTCAATCGTTGCAATATGACAGCATTATGATACTTTATACATTCTTGAAACAAAAGCTTCATATGTTTTCCACTTTAGTCATTGATTTGAGCTGACTGAATTTTAGAATAATGAGTAATCCGCTTTAAATTAAAACGGTTTTGACCAATTTCTAAGTTATACTCTAATAGAAAGCCCATCTTCTGTTTATAACGTATGGTTTGTTGTCTCTTTTTCAGGTGAACGTCCCAAAGCAGAGGAAGACCTTTTGCAAGGGCAAAAAATGCAAGAAACACACCTTGCATAAAATTACCCAGTACAAAAAGGGAAGAGATTCTCTGTTTGCCCAAGGTAAGACGTCCTGATGTAGTGAATTTTATTATGAAAGAAGGCAAAGCGTATGTACGTGATTAAAAAATCGTTTTTAAGGTGTCATTTGACTCATTTCTAAGTGGTTTGTAACTCTATTTTTGGATCAGTTTTGACAAAATCTAGGTCCAGAAACAGGTGACAACCAAAGGGGTACGGCTCATTGAATGTTCACAAAATATGTATTTGATGATAGAAAACATTTATCCTAAGTCAGAAATGAATTCTAAATCCATTCCCATTACACTATATACTAATATATAGACAAGGGTAACAACTCCCATAAGAAGGTGTCTATGCCCAATCAGGGTTTTGGCCTCGCAGTTTTTTTACACGATACAGCATAAATAAAAAGGAATTATGCTATTTGTAGTCGAATGATTTATCTATCGAACCAATGTAAAACTTTTATTATATCTCTTATATTTAACGAGTACTGGCCGTCAAAGTAACAAAAAACTGTTCATTTTCGCGAGGTCGACATCGATCGTGGCTACGCAGGAAACACAAAGTTACACGACTGTTGCAATCGTTGGAGATAATATCACAAGCATTTATCATGCTGGGCAATTAAAAATACATAAAAGTAATCAAAATATACCAATAACCTATAATGACAATGTGATATAAACTCACCTGCGGCTTCAAAATATTTCCCTGTTGAAATTTCTATAAAACACTGCCATCTTGACGAATGTAAACAACCGTCATCTGATTGGTCGGTATTTTTCGGAAATTTACGGGTATATTTTCGGGAAATAAATCGACCAATCAGATGACAGTTGTTTACATTCGTCAAGATGGCGGTGTTTTATAGAAATTTCAACAGGGAAATATTTTGAAGCCGCAGGTGAGTTTATATCACATTGTCATTATAGGTTATTGGTATATTTTGATTACTTTTATGTATTTTTAATTGCCCAGCATGATAAATGCTTGTGATATTATCTCCAACGATTGCAACAGTCGTGTAACTTTGTGTTTCCTGCGTAGCCACGATCGATGTCGACCTCGCGAAAATGAACAGTTTTTTTGTTACTTTGACGGCCAGTACTCGTTAAATATAAGAGATATAATAAAAGTTTTACATTGGTTCGATAGATAAATCATTCGACTACAAATAGCATAATTCCTTTTTATTTATGCTGTATCGTGTAAAAAACTGCGAGGCCAAAACCCTGATTGGGCATAGACACCTTCTTATGGGAGTTGTTACCCTTGTCTATATATTAGTATATAGTGTAATGGGAATGGACTTAGAATTCATTTCTGACTTAGGATAAATGTTTTCTATCATCAAATACATATTTTGTGAACATTCAATGAGCCGTACCCCTTTGGTGACAACCCTTAAATAATAGGAAGTGCAGTCTGTGCGAAAGTCTGTCGGTCCTCGGACCTCGCCAACTAAAAATCAGGAGGGCCGAGATAAATTTGGATACAGTCAGTCCTCATGTCCGAATAAAATTTCAGCCAGTTTGAAACAATTTTTGGCCTAAAATATGCAAAACTGTTTTATTTATTATGTTTCTGTATTTTTTTTCTTCATAGTATCTTATAGTTGAGTCTGATAATTCATATTTGCTGAATATTTTTGTTAATTATGGCAATAATCCCTCCCCCACCCCTACAAAAAATACCTTTCAGAGTCCGGGCCGCAAAAAAATCATCAGGGCCGGAAATAAATCTAAGGATCCCAGTCCTTGTGGCCGGAAAAAAATTTTGACTTTCGCATTGACTGGAAGTGGCTAGCCGTACGGGCCCGTACGTCTAGCCAAATGTTCTAGCCGTATGTGAGTCACGTACGACTAGTCTGGACTTGCTGTATTGTCTAGCCGTACGGCACTTTTCAAAATTATATGGAAGTCGAACATTTATATGTTATTTTGTGCCTCATGATTATGGTTTGTTGTTTTATTTGTATGAAAGGTGAATTTTTGTTAATATAGCACATGGATCGAATAAATAATGATCGGAGTGGAATAAATAAAAAGAACATTGAAAAAAAAAACAAAAAAAACAGTGAAAAGCAAAAATATTTGTATAATTTTCAAATACAGTAGATAAATATCGAACATAAAAGCACAATCAATTAATAAGCCTTAATTAAAGCCTACTCAGGGACTGATAATAGAATTTTAAAATGCGTTTCACGGAACATGCAAACTTTCCTTAATTGTGAACAAACTTCTATACCGTCGGGAATTGACGCAATTATCAGATCCCAACAACAATAATTTTTCATTTTAAAGGTGTCGAAAATTAAACTTAATTAAACAAAACCGGATTTTCATCAAAATCAATTAATTTTGAAAATGCCGTACGACTAGCCAATACAGTGTATCCTTGCTAGTCGTACGTGACTCACGTACGGCTAGAACTTTTGGCTATCCGTACGGCTAGCCACTTCCTAAATGATATATAGACAAGGGTTCCAACTAAAAAAAAAACGGCAATTTTCACCCATAGTTCAATGAGAAGCGAATTTCTTTTCCAGTTTTCAAGCAAATTCTGTATTTTATATGTGTACAAGTACTTTCAATAAATGAGGGGAACTTGTCCCAATTACCCTGCATACAGTAACATGCCGAAAACAACTTTCTTGCTTAGTCCACCAAGAAGTTGCAACATTGTAAACAAAGTATCCAGTAGAAAACACTTTAACAACAATGAACACGGAAGCAAAGACTTGAATATAAATAATAATTTCTTTTCATAACAGCTAATACATTTGACTAGTTTTAAGCAAGGTGTCCTCGCCCATCACTATCCAATTCTTGAATGGAAGGTAGAGTTCACGAGAACAGGGATATTGTCTTGTGTGAAATAGATCTTGTGTTGCTGAAAAGAACACTTAAAAAGATTTTATGAAATAATATAAAATATAATTATGCTAAAATTTAAATGCTTAATTTAGTTCATTTAATGCCAGCATATAACATGTATGTAAATGTTTTTCTCTTTCTCATGAAGAAATATTAACTTGTTCTAGGTAAGAGACGTTATGACAGAAAACAGAGTGGTTATGGTGGTCAGACAAAGGTCATCTTCAGAAAAAAGGTAAAATTTTAGCAAAAGATAAGTTTGATTGCATTTCTGTTCCTTTATGTATGTAGTTTGTGTGTCCATAGCCAAGTGATTAAAGTCGTTGACTTAAAACCACTTGCCTCTTACCTCTGTAGGTTTAAGGCGCACTAGTGTCTTTAGATTCTTCATGTGAGAAAGCTATTCAGCTAGCTTACGAAATGTTGCTGGTTCAACTCTAGTGCCGACCTGCAATAATGTAAAGAGGGGCACTATGTACTTCTTTATAAATGTAATTTACTCGGCTTATAAAGTAATCAAGGAAAAATGTATCCCTTCTCTTGGACTAAAGTTTGTCAGTCATGGAAAGTAAGATTAATTTCTACTAGACAAAGAGAAAATCTTCAGTTTTTTGTCGAGCAAGCTTGCGGAAAGCACAAAATACTTGTCATATTCATATTTTCCCTTTTTAAATAAGTAATAATGTATTTGTTTCCGAGGCAAAATGTGCCTGTGAATACTGATGCGGCAAGCTGTTTTAATTTGAAAATTTACTTTTTACATTATTTTTACTATTTATTGTAACAATGGGATGCTGTATTAATAACAAAATGTAATAAGTTCAGGCATCTGTCTGCCTTATTTATCATTAAGTAACTGATGATTAATTCAAAATGAATATCATTGGATATCGTTGTCAAGTAAGTACATATAATACACCTACAGATCCGAAACAGTTCTGCAACAAAATGTAAAAAAGTGATATAAAATAGATGACGTGTCATGTTCAATAACCATGAAGCTAGGTCAAAGGTCATACTTTAAGGCACAAATGTTCCCAATAATGAGATGGCATGTCATGCACAATAACTGCCTAGCTAAATCAAAGGTCAAGGTCATACTTTAAGGTCAAATGCAAAAAAGTGGTCCAAAACAGCTTGTCTGCTCCATAACTCTCACTAGCCGCCGGAATTTCAAAGAACCTGACACAAATGTCATCATCAAGAGATTGTGTGTCACACACAAGAACCATGTGGTTAAATCAAAAGTCAAGGTTATACCTTAATGTCCAAGGGGGTTTTTTTTAGGAAAAGGGGAAGACGCTGGACGCTGGTAGGGAGGGGAAAAATATATGAAAAAAGTCAATTTGGGGAAAATTAGAATATAAACAGAAAATCCTGTTATACATACTGTATTCTAAACTACATTGTAAAGAGTCACAACAACATCTGTTTTTCCTTAAATACTTTATCATTGGCAAAGTATTATTATTTGCAATACAACATCTTAATATGCATGGTGGTGAATGATTTTTACACTTCCCTTTTTGTATGAAATTTGATACAGTGTAGGTGTAATAGTATATCTGTGAAACATTTTTTGCTCCATACAAGTCATTTTCATAATTAGAAATACAAAAGATCTTACTTTACTAAAAAAAATAACCAAGAAAATGATGATATTTTGATAGTATTTGATTTCGGAAAAAGTACAGTTCAGTACGGAATATAGCCAAGAAAAAAAATGGCCGCCCCCATGTTCATACACTGCTTGCAGTTTCCTGCAATGGTTTTGGTTATTTTGGGCTACAATTGGTTGGTTTTATTTGCTGAAATAGAAAAACTTAATATTTTTTACCTTTTATGTATTTAGTCTCTTTAACAGCTCAAAGGGAAAATAGAATTTTTTGGCGAGGGAAAGACGCCAGGTATCAGTGTGAATTTGTTAGTAAAAAAAACCTGATGTCAAATGCATAAAAGTGGTCTCAAACAGCTTGTCCACACCAAAACTCTTTCACTTGCTGGTGGAATTTCAAAAAACCTGGTACAAATGTTCAACATCGTGATATGGCGTGTCATGGGCATGAATCTTGTGGCTAGGTTAAAGGTCAAGGACTAATGCAAAAAATGGTTAAATAACCCTGACACAAATGTTCTGCATCATAAGACAGCGTGTCACGCACAAGAACAGTTTAACTAAGTTAAAACTCAAGGTCATACATCAGGGTCAGAATACTTGGCTCACAGGCAGGTACTATTTGTTTACCAGTGAAAAAAAGAAAAAACAAAAGTTTGTCTGAAATAATAATTAGAAAATATTTATTACACACTTATAAGTGCTGATTCAATTTATACCAGGAGTACATCAAATGTTTTGGGTATTCTGGCATATGGACCAATACCTTGAGCTGCATTCATAGTGGAAATGATAGTAAATATATAGATAATGTGTTGAACCTGTTTGTTTTGATGTTTTCAGGCAAAGACTACTAAGAAAATTACTTTAAGATTGGAATGTACCTCTTGTAAATACAGGAAACAGTTATCTATCAAAAGATGTAAACATTTTGAACTTGGAGGTGACAAAAAGAGAAAGGTAAGCAGATTTGGACAGTACCAATTATTATGTGTGTCAATAAGGCCTGAGCCATTTGCAAGAGTTTTCTTATGATCCACAGCCAGCAGTTTGGTTAAATTTCTAGCAACCAGTTCATTCAGTTGCAGGTTACCCAGCTATTATCCGTAATATATCTGTTACATTTGGATTCCTTTCTTACTGACTCTAATATACCTTGATCCTACTTACTTCAAAAAAAAAAATTACCACCCTTCTTCCAGACATAATCAAAACCTTTGCATTTGTGACATATTAAAATCTAGGTAATTAATGCCTACCAATAAACTTGTAGGAATGAAAAAGAATAGATGTTATCCGGAATTCAGCAAATGTGTGTTTTTTCCAAGCTAATTTCTCTGTACAATTTTTTGACATTATAGCTTCAGGGTGCACTACCGGTCACAATAGATTAGTCAACCTGTTATACGCTTATTTTTAATGCCTCTAAGTAGTAAAGTAAAAGTTTGTTTATACCCCCTGATTAGCTGTGAAAAACCCAAAATATTATAATTTCCAGAGTAAAGTTTATTAAATTTTTATGCAAAGACTTTAAAATTAAAAGAAGGAAAAAAAAGATCAACAACCTGAAACTGTGTTGTCTTTTAAAGTTTTGAACAATTAAGAGATGTAAAAATACAGACATTCAGGGACTAAAGAAAATAATTTTTCTAAGAGCCTTTTTTTGTTGCAGGACAATAAGCTTGTTAATTTCACTAGCAAGTTACTTTTTGGCCTAGTACTGCTCCAACAAATTCTGCTTGTAAAAACAAAAGGACTAAGTGGAATTTTCAATCACTGCCAAGTATCCGTATATTAATTTCATAATTGAAGGAAAAACATGTTTTAGTTCAGAATTGTTAGAAATACAATAGTATTACTTCAGGAGTGAAATGAAACAATATTTTCATTTTATTTTAGTTTAACATTGGTAGATATGAAATCATACTTCTCAAAATTAATGTTTGTGGATTTATCATAATGAAGTGATATTTTACCCCTGATTTTTTGCATCATGGTTGATTAAGAAAATGTTTTACCATTAACAATAATAAAGATATAAAAGGAAAAGAAATGATAGGAAAATTTTACAAGCCTATTTTAAACATCGTTTAGATTATAATATAAATCTATTATTGCCTTACCTTTAAAATAACGATCCATATCTGCCTCGAAGGTGAGCTGGTTGGTGGAAAAACTTCACAGTTTTTGGGAATTTTTAAAATCAACTTGGATAGATTTTAACATTGTTGTCAATTGAAAAAAGCTGTTTTAGAATAATCGGAGTTTTGAACATACTTGTAAAGATATTACCCTCAGTTGTCTGTTGGGATTTTAAATATTCGATTCAGTTTATAGGAATTACCTCCCTTGTGTTGTTATATTGATCATTATCTGGTAGATCTATTTTATGTTCTTTAACATAAATCTTATTCACATTTTGTCTTGGCAATTGAATAATTTTGGCAATATTTTTATAAAAATGATAGCATGAATTAGGGGGAGTTGAATAAATTGATAGATAATGGAGAGTATGATGTGTTTTACAAAGTCTTCAATGAAAAGGTTATGAAGAGAAGTTTCCAAATTACCGGAATTTATTAAATCATTTGTTGTAAAAACCTTCCTGACATACAAGAAAATGACAGATTTTAGAATTTTTCATATCTTGTTGAAAAATGCATGTATTTTTGAAAATTAAAAATCCATTTTATGATACATTTTCCCACCAATTATCTGGTAGATCTATTTTATGTACTTTAAACATAAATCTTCTTCACAATTTTGTCTTGGCAATTATGTGGTTGTGCTGTGGTATATAATATTAGATACAGGAGGTTCTCTTGACAATTTATCTGGCATTAATGTAAATAAGGAAGACTTATTGTATTTATGATGTAACTTTTTAAAGGTCTATCTTTGAATGGTGCATTATATGCAATATTATATAAAATTTCTCTGTTCTATCATATATAATTGTTTAGTACTTGTCATGCTGTGCATATTTCATTGGAGTTTTCTTTCTTTCTATTTTCAGGGCCAGATGATCCAGTTCTAAATGTCACGTTTTCTGTAAAATATAAAAAAATAAAGAGAAAAAACTTATTTTTTTCTAGTTATCTGTTGGTTTCATTTCAAAAGAGGACAACAGTGTGGTTTTTATGTCATTTATATCTGTTCTGTCAGTCCATAAAACCTGCTGCATGTTAACATTCAGACAGCCTGGGCAAACAATTTTGTAACATGGAACTAGTAATATTTTGTTCCTTAGTTAAATATGGAAAAATCTTGTGTTCATGTCATTTTGAGCAGACTGGAAGAATTGTTGAGCTTGACCTAATCGGCAGAATACTTTGGTTTTGGAACCACCCAGTTGTTTGCGTTAAACTTCGCAGTACAGCTACATGTATTGTCAATAGTATAATTGATATCAATCTGTTTAGCTTCTATGGAGAGCATCAGGTTGGTAATTTAAGGATTTCCAGGGGGCGTCATTGGTCGAGTGACTTCAAACCACTTGGCCTGCAAACGTCGGATTCTACGTTACGGAACATTGGTTTTTCTACTTGAGTGCCTGAAATAATGTACAGTGTGGTGGCTTCCACCAATAGAGCCCATATCACATAATACTGTCTTAGTGTGACGTATCCCCCCCCCCCCTCCCTCCCCCAACCAAAAAAACAACAACCTCAAGCGATGCAAATTGACTACGGCAATTGCTACAGTAGATACACTGTGACATAGAGGTCAATTTTATCACTGCTGATGTAGAAATCGTGAAATAAATCGGTCACTTGCGTAGAAATTGGTAATTACTCGCTAGTTACCCGGTTAAGCCAGCCGGGTGTACCGACTGCAATGATATATATCCAAATATGGTTAAACTCTGCATATTGGAACTCTCTGTCAAATGGCCTATAACTCGAGCACCGAGTTTTGACTGAATTCATCCAGGTGAATTTAGAAATTTACTGGTTTAACATGCAAGGTCAATACCTACAACTACTGAAGATAATTATCACATTGTCCAAGGCCAATAACTCCTGCAATGATTTGCAATTGAAATCAAGCCCTCTGTGAACTTGAGAAAATTCCTGGTGTACAAGATAGTTTAACCTTACTTAATGTATTCTTGAATGAAATTTTACATATTATATGCCTTTGGGATCGTTATTGTAATTCACAAGCAACTTCTTAAACATAGATTTTACCAAAGTTATAGCCCCTTTGTGGGCTTAAATTCATAGGAAATCTGAGAATTCCTACATTACTAAGCACTGAAGATGGTTGAGCGTGCTGGCATTCTTACAGCTCGACTTAATATACTTTGGAACGTTTGCCATTTTTGATGTATATTCAAATTTCTACAGCAAGAAATTTCTTTTTAGACTTCCTGGGACCGCACAACTGGAAGCGGCACAAAATTTAATGCAATAAAACTAAGCTGGTAAAATTCTCTATCAACCAGGGTTAATTAAACAGGCATAGTCAAAGCCATCAGTTGCACAGTTTTTCGCATTTTAGTACAGATCTAACATGGTGAACAAACATAAAATCTAAGATCCGACTTTAACACATATTAAAAGGCCCACGATGCCCCAGAAGTGCTTAAATTTTATCTATTTCTAATGTAAAAATATGTCAATTTCCATTTTACCGTGTGACTAAAAGCCTTAGAATGCGAAACATAGTCGAGAAGATATCAGATTTGAACCATGTTTTCCTTATTTAATATAACATTTGTTGTTGTCTATGTTTTAGTATTGTAAGATGTATATAATGAATAAAAAAATCCCGCGCATTTAATACTCGAAAGATGACAGTGGACAGCAGGCCTACTGTACTTGGTTAATAGCAAGTACGTCGAATAAAAATGTAAAGAAAATATTTAGATCATAATGTACGATTGGCAAAAATTCACTTAAAATTTGAAAAATTCTCTCAAAGACAGCTATGCAAATAAGGCTTCTAGAAATACACAATTGGAAAAAAAACTATAAAACGTTTAAATGTCGTTATAACGAACTTTCTTTTGTTCTTTACTATTATACAAGAACAATATTTTTCCAGTAAAGAATGTAGCATCAAAACGATATGATATCCATCAGGAATTGAACATCTAAAAAGATACCTATCTTTTATCATGATAAGGTGAAGTATTTTCCCAGATGTTTTTCATCACTGTTAGAAAATGTGAAGAATTTTCAAACGTTTCCATTCCTTAGGCAATATCTATATAATATTTGTTAAAGAAAATAAATAAAGAAAAAGAGGCGCCCGTGGCCAAGTGGTTAAGATTCAAACCTCTTGCATCTCATCGCTGTATGTTCAATCCGCGCCAGCTTTTACGAATTCTTTATGTGAGACAGCTTCATTACGTAACGTCGGTGGTTATTCTAAGGTGCCCGTTTCTGCCTGAAATAATGCCCAAAGGCTGGGAAGTCACCATATGACCTAGAGAATGATAACATCTGTCACATGTTGCGATTTGGATTGGAATATCCCGACGGGTACTTGCCCATATCGGAATATCCGTCCCATTCCCGAGGGACGAATATACAATCCGAGGAGCAAACTAATGTCAGATATTATCCTACATATTTTCTTCGGAAAAAAAGTTATAAAGAGAAAAATAAACAGAAAACAGAACAATCATGATAAGCGATGACTAACAAGACGTTTCGATCAACTTTCTAAGCAAGACAGGAAACAAAGGTTAAACTTTGTTTCATTGTAGCCTGTGAAAAGTGTTCTAAGATATAAGATACCGTTTTCACAACAAAAAATAATTCTGGTCTAGAAGGTCAAACTTATCACTAAAGAAATAACATCGTTCAGTTATAAAGGGAATATGTTTTTGTTAATTTACTTTTATGTTTTGGCATTTATCAGGGTGGCAATATATGGCCAGGATACATGTGACTGCAGCGAAATAAATCTTCTTAAGGATATAGACCAGCAAATCATGTGGGAGCAAACGGTTGAGTCCGCCAAACTTGCCAAATTAGAAGCTGGGCATGTGTCACATCAGGTGTCGCCAGGAGGAGCAAATAAAGATTGTGTCGATCGTATCGAAAACATGGAAAGGGAAATGGTCGATATTAATAAGAAACTTGAAAAGTTATCAAAAATAGATGATGATTCTGAAAAAGAAAACTTAGATGTTGTACATGTACTAAGAAGAACTATATCATCTGAAAAGCTGGAACGTTTGGGTTTCGTTTCTGATGTGAACAACAAAATGACTGATATGAAGAAAACGATTGAGAATTTTAAGACTGAAATAAATGAAACTTTTAGTAAAGGTATTGAAGATATAAGCGCACCAGGAGAAGATATGAAAAATGGAATAAATAGAAAACTGAAGGATATGCAGGATACAATAGAAGACTTCATGGATACTATTGTTACAAATGTATCACTTGAAATTGCCGGATACATGGAACAATTTACTCACTTAAATGCAGATTTATTTGAAGTAAAGAAGCATGTCAAAGTCATTGAACGTATAACGGTCAATGAAAAAGTGGACGGAAAGTGGTTAGACTGGGGTGAATGGAGTAGCTGTAGCGTTTCTTGCGGAAGTGGTAACAGGCTTAGAGAAAGATCATGCTCAAACCCACCACCTTCCGAGCTGGGAAGGCAGTGTGAAGGTAACAATAGACAAACAGATATATGTGTCCTAGAGCGATGCCGTGACCAAATAGTGGCGTTCCATGCACATGGAATAACAGCTGGCTCTAGGAGATCCACACAACCAACATTTCCTGATGTAGTAGAAAATATTGGGAATAACTATAACAGTACAACAGGAACATTTACTTGTAAAGTCCCCGGCGTTTATTATTTTACCGTAACTCTTATGATTAGCCCTATATATGCTTATAGAAAAGATGATATTTATGGAACGCCTGGACTGTCTTATGTTAAGAATGAATGATATACCTGGTTAAATGTCTTTCTGTTGAGTCCGAGATACAAAATGCTGGGTGGAAATCATAATGTGCTCAGTTATTGAAGTGCTATGTTGTGTGCTGACTGTATTTTATTCAGTCAAATCAATGTATTATCGGGTGCATAAGTCGTTATGTTCAGTTCTTAAAACAAACAGGCATGTGGAAACACAATTATGTTGAGTTAAAAAGATATGTTGTAGGGTGTTACAGTTATTATGTTCGGTTATAATAATATGCTGTTTTGTGCTCTTCTCATCATGTTCAACCATGAAAATAAACAGTTGAGTGGTACTATCATTTTGTTTGGTTGAGGCAGTGTATTATTGGGTGATACTTTTATTATTTTCAGTTGCAATGACATGCTGTTGGGTGCTTTATTCCTTCTGTTCAGTCGTGAACTAGAACTGTTAAATGGTACAATCATTATCTTAAATGGTACTATCATTATCTTGTGTGCTGATTTTATCTTCTTCAGTCAAGTCAATGTGTTGTTCGGTGCAAAGGTCGTTATGTTCAGTGGTTTTTTGGTACTATCATTATGTTCAGTTCAGATGATATACTGTTCGGTGCAGAGGTCATTATGTTCAATAGTGAACACAAACTGTTGTGTGATACAACCATTATGTTGGGTTCATTCGGATATTTTCGGGCAACAAGATGGGAGAGGTCACGTCGAGGCTAATGACCACTAAATTGCCAAAACAATTTTCTTCCCTGTAAATATTATCGGGGGCTTAAGAACGTTATTTTCATAAATTGGACTTTTAAATACCCTATGGGTATTTATTTAGTTTATTCATGACTATACTATACTGTTACAGTCATAATGGGTACAGTATATAAAACTTAAAAAATGGGTAAGGGTAGCTTGTTAAAGTCACACATGACCACCGTAAATAAAACTTAATATTTATCTGTTTGGTAACCTATAAGGGTCACAAATGGACACAGCAAACGAAATTTAAAATATAAAACATCATATTCAAGTAAGGGAACCCTATCTGAGTCACACATGGCCGCAGTATATGGAGCATATAAGAAGGGTAGCCTATTAAAGTCACATATGGCCACAGCATATGCAACTTAAAATATATGTGTTGGTAACCCATTTGAGTCACACATAACCACAATAAATGGAACATAATATTT